CGTACACACCTGGATCTTGACGTCCTTGCAGTTGATGATCTCTACGATGCCCACGACATCATCAAACACCAGGCCCATTTTCTTACAGTTGTCTGATGGAGAAAAAACAAACGCATATTTAGACAGCAGACGTGCACGTCATGTAACTGGCAAGAGACTTTTGTCGGTTTTTGCATGTTTTGTATTGGTATTTTCAAATTAGTGTGTTGAGAGTACTGGAACAGGGCAATTCTAAGACATTGGTTTACAACTTTACAAGTTTACTTTTAGTTAAGTTAGTATTTAAGTTTCTCCATAGTGTGCAGCAGTCTTTGGTTGAAAGGTTTGCCTGCAGCCATGTCTGTGTGATGGCCTTCTCACCAGCAGATAGAAGTATTATTAAGAGATATTCTGCTTTATTTTGATGTTTTAATCCAAATCAACTTGACTCCACCACCCTCACCTCAGATTTATTGACTTTTTTGTCTAAAAGTTTCCAACACAGCAAATATTTCTATATGAGTGGATATAGGAGAGTGTCTGTGTTACAGAACTATAGAACCATAATGGATTTAGTCACTCCTGTTTTGAAGGACGTAAACAGAAAGGCACCATTAGAGTTTGGTGAATTAACTATCACCAGTTCCTGTTTGCAGTGTGCTAATAGATAGACAGCTATCAATCAAACCTAAACCTAAAGATGATTTTTCAAGCAAGTTCTGAAGTTTCAAGATCCACGTCTTTGATGATTTATAAGCATTATGTGTTTATTCACAATATGAATCATGTCTGTTTGTTCAGATTATGACTGAGTAATGTCTCTGAGAAAGAACCATAATTGGCTCTATGAGCTGTGTGTCACAACCACAGCTGCTCCCACAGTGTTGATAAGCCCCTTTCACTTCACGCAGTATCCCAACAGTTCTTACCTACGATGATGGAGTTGATTTTGCCCTTGACCTGCAGGGTGCTCTTGTTACACTTGTAGGCATAAACCACTTGTTTCAGCTCAGTGTCGCCGATCACCAGGTCCTGTGCTCCCTCTTGGTTCTCCTGCAGAGCGCAAAGAAGAAGAATACACAAGTGAACAAGAAAATCCTCTAAAAAAGGTTAAATATATTTATAAAAAGTTATTCTGGTCCAGTGACTCATTCAGCCTGCTACATAAACAAATCATTCCAGCCAAAAGCCACAAAAACAACAAGTCTGCTCCAGTTAATTTGACCCCTTCCTTTTTTCAATAACTTGCCTTTTACAGGAATAACTGACTACAAGTTAAAATGGGCTCCGTCAGCTTAGAGGAAACATTTTAGTGAGAGTGAACCAACAACTTACCACTTTCCACTTCTTCCCATCCAGCTCCAGCACGGGGGGCAGGGTGCGGGTCGGGGCGGCAGACGCAGCAGGTCGGGGAGCCGGGGAAGCAAAGGGTTTTGGTCCGGTACGTACTGGAGCACCACTCCTCAGGTTGGGGTTCTTGTGGGTCTTCTCGTTGTCGCTCACATGCTTCAGGCCTGGAGAAGTCATGGAAAGAGAGAACTGTAAGTCCAGCAGTACAACATGTTTCTGGCTCAGACACCAAATGTTACAGACTGATTCATAACTGATGATTTACACGGAGGTGAAGAGGAACTTTCTCAAGTATTCAAGCTTTCACATCTGAGCACAATATTTGACTTTTTACTCAGCTACAATTAGTCACTGAATATCTACCCTTGGTGATGTCGGCTCCCTTGTTGATGGAGGCGAACAAAGCGTTACGCTCGCCATCGCCACCGCCGCCAGAAGATCCGCTGAGGTCCATGGGGGGAGGAGGAGGTCCGGGGGGAGGAGGGGGAGGACAACCACCGGCAGGAGCACTGGGAGGAGCTGCAGACGCTGAAGCTATGGGACCCTGAAGTGGACAGATTATAAATGGTGTAACTTCATTTTGTAGTACTAAATTTCCTTTATGTTTTATTTCTTGTTTCCATTTCTGCCGATTTTGTATCATTTCATCCCATTTATAAACTTTTATATTGTAAATATGAGATTGTTGTAAATATCCCATGTTAATTGCTACTGGAGGAACGTATCACTGAAAGAATGAAGTATCTGTAGGGTGAATCCTTGTCTCTGATTGGCTCCTGCCCAGAGCATCAAAGTAATTAATCATTTGATCACTTTAAAGGTTACTCTTACACTCCACTGTAAGTAGGAGGAAGTCACTTGATAAATATGCAGTGAAGAACTTGTAAGTTGGCTGAAGATTTCTTTAGTGTAATTCTCAGAAGACTCACACTCTTGCTCCAGGTCAGTCCAGTGGTGTGGTGCTGTTTGATGTAGTTCTGCAGCTCAGTCCAGATGGAGACATAGGCCTTCACCCAGTCCACATGTGTCTTATCCCTGAGAGGAAGAAAAATAATTATCTGTTGATCTTTTCTCATATAAATCTTGGCATTATATGATTCTTCTCCCCCCCCCCTCTAACAATTTATTGTTCATTTTCACTGGTCTCTGCATCCCACAGGAAAACAGACAATGTGTTAGACTCTCCACAGACAGGAACAGAACTAGAAATCTACTCCTTAAACATACAACATGTAACATTTTCTAGCCCACATCTCGTACTGTTTTGAGCCGTGTATACAGCATTACTGTTTTGCACTCAACTCTAAAGAGAGCTCACTGACAAATTTGAATAAAAGCTGATCAGCATACGCAGGCTGATTCTAGTCTGAACAACATCTACCTTCAAACTTGACTGTAACTCTGTACGTCGGCTCATAAACTGATGATATCAGGTCTAAATACAGGAAGCATCAGCATGCGTCAGTGTGTCGTGTGGCAGCGCTGACTCAGTAAAACTGAACTTAAAAAAAAAAAAAAAAAAAAAGAGCCTAGGAGGAAGGAAAGCTGGAAGACAGATGGGTTGAGCAAACGGCTTGGCTGCATATGAAAGTTCATCTGACTCTCAGTTATCCAACGTTACAACATTTTAAAACTAAATGACGCAGTTGAAAAAAAACAAAGAAGCCAACTAGACTGTTAGAATTAGCGTGTGTGCAGCTTCACTGCTGCAGACAAAGCAGGAAACACAACATAATGAAGCTTTACTTACTTTTCCTTGAAGTCTTTGAGCACACGGTTGGTGTAGAACATGGCGGCGTCCTGCATCTCCTTAACATAAGGGCACGGCTTAGGAGCCTGGGACAGAGACAAAAAGGAGGTAAACACAAACGCATTTTGCAGAGTGTTAGATGAGTATGGAGCTGGAGCCGGGAGGTGATTAGTTGAGCTTAGATTAAATAAAATAAAGACCGGAAGGAGGGAGATAAAGCTTTCCTGGCTTTTACCAAAGTTCCTATTTTGGGGGCACTGAAAAAATATGCTTATTTGTTTTCTTGCTGAGAGTTAGATTAGAAAAACGATTCGACTCTAAGCTAATATATGCTTAATATAAAAAAAAAGGTACAGCTAAAAGATGTTTAGCTTAGCATAAAGACTGGAAGCAGCTAGCCTGGTGCTGTTAAAGTAATTCTTCTTTACACTTCAGGTTTTGTCTTATTTAAACATTTGTGTTGAAGTGTGTTTAGTGTTAATTAGTAAACTTTAGAGGTTCTGGTGTCCACCCCGTTTCTAGCCGATATTGAGCTACATATATTAGTATTGTCCTATACGTTATCAGATATGTACTGATACAAGACAGTTTTTTATAATGCAAAAAAAATTCAATTCTTGTGGTAATATATTGGTGTCATTGCAACATTAATCCAGCAGAGTGCGCTGCGATTTACAATAATGTGGCAAGCAGCACAGAGTAAGAGAGGAGCCGCTCTCAGCTATGTCAACTACAATTGGCTAAACAGTTAAACAAATAAATTAAATATTTAACATTATTTGACATGATAAAATATGTTTAAGAAAGCAGCCTTCTGAGTACCTTTACAAAATAAGTGCACAATCCATAAAGAAAAAGGTTCATATAGTAAATATTTTGGCTGCTACATCGATAATACGTTAATATTTCCCTCTAAAATCAGCATCAGTCTTGATAAATCCCCTTTTGGTTGGGCTCTAAAGCTAAGCTTACCAACTCCAGTGTCTAGCTTCACATTCAGCTCACAAACATGAGTGATATTGATCTTCTCATCTAACTCTCAGTAAGAAATATTGAACTATCCCTTTTAAAACGGTCGACTACAGTAGCAAATGAGCAGTAAAAGTAATAAAGTTCACAGGCCATGCTTATAATGAGAGCTTTAAGATATTAGAGTAGGCGTACAAAGAATGAATGCATCTATTATCTGTATTTGAAAACCTGATCTATTATTCATAAGAACCAAAACAACAACAAACAAAGAGTTAATCATCTAAACTGTAACAGTGAAGCTCTGTTGTGGTGACCATGTGTCAGCCAAGAAACTGTTGTTTCGCAGACAGCGATGACAGAATCAAAGAGAGGCTTGTTTCCGGCCGTTATACACTCATTTATCTGCCCACACACACACACAAAGCACACACACACACACACACACAGAGTCACTCTGTTAACACACAAACGGTCCCAAAAAAAGCTTCCAGTCTCACCATGGCGACCCATCCGAGGGCAGGCACGCTCTCGCTCACGGCAGAGAGGTGGTTGAAGAGCGGCGAGGTGCGGTTCTGCTCGCGGAACGCCTGCACCTGCTGGATGGCTTTGGACACCGGCTGCAGGAGAGTCGTCAAAACTGCCTGAACAGGAAAGAGACGGCACAAGGTTTCACAGTTAAAAACAAACTTTTACTCATATGGTAGAGTTTAGGAAGTTCAAGTTTTAGATTTTTAGATTCAGGAGACATTTTATTATTATTTTATTACAAATGAAAAAGTTTAAAATCTTAATTTCTTGCATATTCAGCATGACGGGTCAGACTGAAGCTGCATTACACTTTACTTTACCAGAACAGATTTGTGTCAACAACAGTAATTCAACCAGGGTGCAAAGTTAACTTTTCGTGCAGCGGCCAAATGGATGGTGAATATTCAAATACTCTATAGTATTACCATTGTTTTTTTTGGGCTGGTGAATTAAGCAAATCTACCACCCACTTGCAAATTCAACATGAAACAGGGCCACATTTGACAGTTACGTCTCGTAGTGCAACACGAGACAGACATTTAGGTACAAATTTAGGTAAGTTTCGCTGTCACACTGAGTAAAACATCTCTATATAACCCTATATTAAAATATAAGAAATAAATGAACACTGTATCACTGTGGAGAATATAATTAAAAGCACGACACCACCTAATCATGTATAATAAATACATCTAGTGTTGTAGCTCGCCATCAGTGGTAACTCTTTGTGAGCTATAAATCAACACCTACTCCGCAGATATCTATGCAAAGGCTCCTTTGCATCAAGTATAAATCCAGCTGGGATATTCAACAGTCAGCAGATCTTTAAATAAAATGTTGGCAGAAAACAAGGAGAAAATGACAGCAGGACAGAGAACCTGTACAAGAGAGTGAAGGTGCTCGGAGGGACGTAAGACAAGAGGAGAGCGTAATGAATTATGCAAACTGATCAATGTTGTTCAGTTAACTGAGACATTAACTGACTGAGCAATTACGAAGTGTGTTTAACTCACATCAGAGGGTTTCTGGGAGGAGGAGGCTTGTATGAGGAGTTTTTTCTGACTGGCGAATGCTTGCTTCATCATTTCTGCCTGGAAGGGAAGAGAGGCAATTTAGTAACAGAAATATGCTGAGAACAAAAATCATCCTGGTCTTTTTACATCCGTCAGTCCTCCTCAACTCTGGTCAAGTTTTGTCATTATTATAACTCTCAAAAAAGGTATAAAATCAGCAGGAGGACTCCAAGATCTGTTTAATTTGTAGCATATAAAAGCGACTGACTGACCCTCTTGTTGGTGTGAGATAACCTTTATGTGCAGAAATAACAGAACTTTTAATATTATTTAGCATCTAAATCAGGGGTCTCAAACTCAAATTGGCTTGGGGCCACTGCTGGTACAGTCATCTCGTAGGAGGGCCACATCAACATGTGCACCAAAAGTGCAATAGACTGAAAATATGTCAATTTCTAACATCATACTTGACAAGAAAAAAGCTGTTTCAATTCAAGGATTTTACAGGTTTATTTTAAATGTATATGAAAAACACAAATTAAAACAATCTTGCAGGGACGCATTATATTAAATTAATCTAAACTGTAACTTACATGTTTCTGGACATCACCCCCGATCTTCTGGCTAAGGGAGAGGTACTCAGCCAGGGGACCGTTGACGATTACATCATAGGCCTCGACGTATGCGGATACAGCTACAAAAGAAGAAAAACACGAGGTATTAAATTAATTTAAACACTTAAAAGAAACCACAATATGGAAAATAAAAACAGGATAAGATTAAATAAAATACATAGAAAAGAACAGACAGTAAAACATAACCAACAAGTAGTTATGGGTTGTTAATTTAGACTACAAAGCGGCACATTTAAGATCTTAAGGAAGATGACTGCATATGATTTTATATTAGGCCTTTAATCATTTTAGCATATGGAAGCCTGGAAACACATTATAAAGAACTTCTTATGGGTTGGGGGTAATAGCTGCAATTTTCAGTAATTTTGAAAAACGCCTGACAGGTGTGAGCCAGTCACTAACTGCAGCACATCCATTGCTAAGCAACTGAAAACATCATTTAAAAGCTGGTAGGAAGAGTGAACACAGCGTGGGGATGGTTTAAGCTGCATCACTACATCCTAAAGAGTTTACGCTTCACAAGGAATTAATGGTGACGTCCAAACCAAATTATTTATGTGCAGCGGTAGCAGTCGTTTAACTGCTTGATGAGGAAGGAAAGTCAAATGTGTCTACTGGCAGCAACATTGCTGAAAAAAAAGATGCAGACACTTCATTACTAGAGGGGAGGATGGGCGCTCAGGTGCTGAGGGATTTGTTATCTTTGTTTGAGGAGAAGCTGTCCTGAGTGGCTGCAGCAGAACTGATGTTGCATTAACATGTTTATCTGATTTCTTAAAGCTACTACAAGGAGTTTTCAACTGGTTATGAAACCATCAGCGAGAAGACCAGCTATTTCTTTGTCGTTATTCTTAATAACTAATGGGTCCGATTCCCATGAAATCCATTAAATGAGGCAGTACAAACATGAAAGTTCCTTGTTTTCTGCTATAAGCAACAGTTTGTATAAGAAATCTGTAGGCAAGAGACAAAACCACCAGACAGCTTATTATGTGGAGTTAACCCATAATAATGATAACTGCTCATTACCTCCACCAGTTGAATCTCCAGCACCACCAGCACCACCGGGGCCTGACATGGACTCCAGGCGATTCACCGCCACCTCCAGCCGCTGCACCAAACTCGCCAACTCAGCCATACCTGTGAGAGGGAGAAAACCATTCAGTACCTTTTAAAAAAGGGGTTAACACTATATTTTAGCTGTCTAAACAAGATTTAAATCCCCTCCGGGCACAAATCTTTCTTTTTTTCCCCTTTCCTACAATTGTTGAACATTTGCCCCTGAGGTGAGCTGCTGTTAATCGTCGAGGCACAGTGGTACTTCCTGTTCTAGTAGTCTTCTAATTGGGGACTGAATTACTCCTGAGACCCAAGGTGATGGCAATTACTGCAATTAACAAACAGCAGTGCCCTGAATCCTGGGCTTTTCTTGGTTGACTTAGTCCTACGAGGCTCAGTGGTACTTTGTGCCTGCAGTCAACATCAGTGTTACATTTAGGGTTTGTGTCCTGAAGTTGATTAAGATGATTTTCTCACTTGGAAATGTGCAATTTAGGGCAGTCCCAGATAGAAGTTTACATTTTTGAGAGGAACATGGCAAAGGCTGTTGCACTGTCAGACCCATTAGACATACTGCAACATGTCAATTTCAAGAGATATTCTGTTTACTATCGGGAAAGACAAAGAAAAGCCTCAAATTCTCATTAAAAAATAAGGACCACGAAACATGTGATGTTTTTTTGCATTTCATAAAATTACTAGAAAGATTATTGCATTATCTATAAAATGTTACAGATTCATTGTCCATCAATCGATTTCATTGTTTCTCTATCGTCACAGATTATTACAGACGTTCAAAATACATTTTTGGCTCGCAACTCATTAAAAAACAACTACTTCTTGAGAAGAACTTTGTGTAGCAGAAATACGTCTTTTCTCTCTGCTTTTATATCCCTGCAGTTATCATACAGCATATAAAGGAAACTGGAATACACACCAGTTTATAATGCAAGTTATCACCCTCCAGAATTTGTATAAATAGACTAACTAAACTTTAATTTGCACATTTTAATGAAGCTCTTTTAGGCCCTGCAGTGAATTCCACCTTTAGACTGATTGAGTAACAAAAAAGAAGGAAGAATGAGTCTGTTAGTAAGCAGGTCAGGACTTGCTGAGTAAAGGTATGTAGATCATCACCAGTTACTGCAGGCTCTCTGCAGAGTGCAAACCTGCCCTGTAATCCCAACTATGTCGTTTGCAGACAACAATTTCAAACTTAAAGGCAGCAGCTATAGCCTAAATATAGTCTCTATAGTCGGCGTGCCAAGATGCAAACCGATTCTCCTGACTTACCCTTTTAAATACAAGATTAACTTAAGTTCAATCCGAGTCTAGCATAATCTTACAGATAGACACACACCTAATGAGAAAGGCTAACATTACATAAGACGTCTGTAACCTGACGCTGCCTTCATCCGTGTGACGGAGTATTTCCAGTCTCAGGTACTTAAACCTGGCTGACGGTGAATGGAGACTCACAGACCACTCTCACTAATGAGGTCCACGCAAGATAAACCCGCCGTCTCACTTTCACTACGGAGGGACGGAACTAAATCTTTACATATCTAATGACTGAGACGGCGCTTAACATTTTTTGGCTGTGACAGATGAAGTTAGAGGCACATTTGGACATTTGTGCTTTAATAGTGGAGTAAATGGTTTGCCACATAAAAGTTAATTTTGGTACCAAAATGTCTGTTCAATATCATAATCTTGTTTTCTTACTCTGTGATCAGATAGATGCTGATCTAATAAAGGGAGAAAATGCTAATTTTAGACTTTTTATTAGGTTCTTGTGTTTAGACAACATTACTTTATTTCTTCTGGGAAAGAAAAAACATGTTTGTCTCAAAATAGGCAATCAAAAAAAGTATTGTTAATCTATTGTAACCAATCTATGGACTGGAAGATTAATCAATCTAGGCATTACTTCTATACATTTTTGGTACTGATCACTATGTACCAATAGCAGCCTCTGAATGCCGGCTTTTGGTACCAAAATGTCTGGCCAGAGTCACGATCTTGTTTACTTATCGTTGATCAGTTTAGTTCCAGATTTGATTTTAGATCATTCTATTTAGGGCAAGTTCTTGCAGAGCTGCATGTGTTTAGACAGCGATTAACATTCAAGAACTTTGTCTTCTGTTGTGAAAAATGGCTTAGTATCTAGTATCATACAATGTCTAACGGGCAGATGACATCTTAAAAAGTCATCTAAAAAAAAAAGTTCTAAATGTTCAGACCTAAAGGAGATGCAATGACTCCAAAAATTTGGAAATGTTTCAATGTTGTAAGTAGAATAATGGCCCCTTTTAAAACAGGGTGAGGCAGGTTATACATTATTACAGCCCTAAGGCTATTAAATGAAGTCATATCAATAGCGCAGTGCATCAGCAGCATTATATCACTACAACTCAAAAGGAGCGGTGGTGACACATTCTCACATTTAAAAAAAACAGAACACAACATTTTGAGAAGTTCCTGATGTTCCTACAGCAGACATGACATTTCAAAAGGCCTCAACTTCCCCTTTTTTCTGCCTCACCCATTCAGACAGAGTTGTAAATTCATTTCTCCACAAGGCGTGGAGGTAAAATTAGATTGTAGCAGGACACACACACACACACACACACACACCACTACTACCCTTGACCTAAATGTTCACAGCCACAGAAGACTTTTACCTGCAGATACCAGAGTTCAACCCGTTACACTTCCTGGTCTCAGCTGAGAAATGACTCACCAGTGATACAGGAAGGGAGTTGCCCCTAAAAAAAAAAAAAAAAAAAGTAAGGTGTGGGAGTAATACACAGCAAAAAAAAAAAAGCACCTACATGTGAGAGTTGCTGTAGCTGACAAACTGTAATGTTGATTACTATACAACAAACTTCCGGTTCTGCTAAATTGCAAATCCCTCAGTGGGGCCCTTTGAGTTTACTGGATTTCCTGCTAGGTGGGTTTAGATGCTGCAGAACATTTCCGATAGTGCACTAAAAGTAAAGTGGCCACATACGTTCAAACCAAGTGCTGACCATAAAGGAAAACAACACTTGTCAGGGAAGTAGGAACAACTTTCCAGAGACATGCGGGCAGATATAGCAATGACTCAGTCCAGGGAATAATGCCTTTCATAACATTTTCCTTAGATTCGAGCACTATAAAAGGCAAGACGGCCAAGACTGGGGCCTAATGGCAACTTCAGGGATGGAGGAACCCGAGTCTACGTGTTGGTACAGCAGCTTGTTTTGAGTCAATCCCACACTCACTCACACTCACACAAACACACAGCATATTGTTGGCAAGAACTAAATCCACAGCTGGGAATAGTTCCTCACAAATGCTCTATTTAGTCCTGTTTTAGCAATGGTCGCTCAAAATTACTAACCTCGCGAGGTAGCCGGACTCGCAAGATCAGGAAATCACGCAAAGGCTTCAATCTATGAGTTTGTGGCCAGACTACAGTGGCATCGGACCAATCAGCGTCCACTGGGGGAGTGCTGGCAGCTATGGGGGTGTGAGAAGACACTGCTTTCTTCATTAAAGAAGAGTAAAGAAAAGATGTTTCCACTCTCCTCCTGACTGGCTTTCGGTAAGAGTTTGACTGCGTTATATGGTTGGTTGAAGTATTTCCAGACGGTGTAGGGAAGTCATAAAGTATTGAGTAACAGACTAACTGATTGTTGGTTTTCGGTCTTTTCATGAGATTTGTTTGACAGTAACGAAACTGGAGAACATTATCAGCCGTACCCTTTAAACTAAATGTCATCACAACACCTGCCAACACGAGTGTTTGTCTTACAGAAAGGGAGTAACACATGTGTGAAGTAAAGATCTGTGTACTTTGTTTTGCAGGAGGGCGTGTGCTACTTTTTACCTAAAACTGGACAAAAAAAAGGAGTTTGAGTTTATATAAAGCAAATACACTAAAAGGCAACATCCTTGCAGATATGAGGATCTATCAAAAGATGCATGTACACCCAGGAGTATATTTACTACTTCTTATTCATTATAGCTTTTGCTGGTCTTCCTCCAACATGTAAAACCCTGCAGCAGTGTATTCATAAAGCAGACTTTTGGGGACATATGGCAGAAAATGTAATGCATAAAGCACCATCAGCATGCAGGGGCAGTGAAGTAGGTTAGGGCCTGTTTGCCTAGAGGGGGGGGGGCATTTATACATAAAGAAGGGAGCTCCCTTTTTTCTATTTTACACCTTAGCATTGGATAATAAAAACATTTCTCTGTCGCAGAGGCAGAAGTAGGCCAAAGCAATGGCGGTGAGCTTCCTCACAGTCCTCCTCCGGCCGCTGATGTTAATGCGATCACCGGGGCTTCAACCAGACTGCCAGGGGAGGCCAGCGAGAGAACCGGTGGGTGTCGTGAGGAATTTGGTAACCCCAGCAAGTTAATGCCCCTCCCTCTCTTTTAACAGACGCACGGTCGCATTACAACTCAAACATCCATTAAATGTGAAATAAAACAAGAGGTATTTTTGACAGCTTGGAGGTTGTTTGTTTGTGACACATTAACTTGTTTTTTTAAGACGGCGAGGAAACAAAATGAGTCCAAACACCACAGGAGACAACGAGAGAGAGCTGGCTAATGTTAACGCCTGATTAAAAAAACAAAAAAAAACAAAAAGCAGCATATAAACAGTAAACAAGGTCAGAATTAAACTGTTATATTTCCTCCCTCCTTGTTTGTTGAGTGTCTACTGTCTGTTTCGGCATTTCCTGGATTTCCTCCCCCCTCTCCCCCCTCTCTCTCTCTCTCACACACACACACACCCCTCCCTCCCTCCTCTCTCTGATAGCTAATGCTCCAGTCTGCAGTAAAAAAAAAAACACCGAAAAAAATAAGAAAAAGTCTGAAATTTAAAAAACCATTTAAAGAATCAGTTCATCAGTAGGTGGTAGCTCAATGTAGCAACATCGGCTAACCGGCTCTGTGTGTGTGTGTGTGTGTGTGTTAGCATCACACCGATTACAATCAATAATTTCTGAATGATTCGATGCGGCGACGGATTGTTCGTCTGCTTCGCCGAATAAATGTTAAGCGAACCCGGTTACTGAGCTGACTAGCACGTCGCTTACCTTGCTAAACTGCTCAACTGGTTTTTGGTTGTTTTATATCGCCTTCAGTTCTCGCCGTGGGAGTGTGCAGGGCGCAGGCTTGCAGGGACAGACTGGGCTTCGTCTCTCTCTCTCTTTTTTCTTCTCTTCCTGTATGTCAGTGAATTTTTTTTTTTTTTTACCCAGCTGTCCCCGCGCCGCGTTTCCGCCCTTGTTCGCGCAACTAATTCCTTTCCCATATAAGGAGTGTGAGAGGCAGAGGGCAGCAATATAAAGGGGAGAAGAAAGAAAGACAAAAAAAAAAATAAGAGGATGAAACAACTGCTTTTTCCTTCCTCTTATGTTATATCTGAAGACGGTGCAGTAGAGATATGTCATGCATGGCTCTCACTCGTTCTTCCTCTGAGGGATGCTCACAAAATACTGTAATAATAATCCATCTGCAGGCATGTGCAGTTTGCATAAAGCATCTGGGTGTTGCATGTTTTCCTGTGTGCTGTGGCGTTTCAACATGTTTTGGGGTGTCCCTGTAGCGAGGATGTATAAGACTACAGTCGGTAAACTGGAGTTTCAGTCACTACAGCCCTTTTTTTCCTTGAGTGCGAGGTTCAGTGTCATGCAAATCTGCAAGCAAGCTGTATTAATGTGGTGTTTTTTGTGCCACACTCACACTTTGGGGATGCAACTTGTTGTTTTATTCAAATAAACTAATAATAAAATTTCCTTCCTCTTCAAAATGCTTCTTTTCCTCAAAAAAACCCAAAATATTCAGTTAAAAAAAAGAGAAAAGCAGCAAATTCTCACCCTTGTAGAAGCAAAAAACTGTGAATATTTAGCACTTTTCCTAATAACTAATCAATTAATCGACTAATTGTGTCATTTTCTGGGAGAAAAAGTGACATTACACCCAGTTGGAAAGGAGGAAGAATAAAAAAAATGACTTTTAGCTGAAAGTAAGTCAACATAAAAGTATGAGCAAACGTCTGGGTCTGTTATTAAAATCTTTACTTGTTCCTCTCTCCACCAGCCCACAAGACACGTTTACTGACCTCCGCTTCTATCTGCTGTCATCATGAGGTAAAGCAGCGTGTGCGTCCACTATCAATTATTATGGCACATTGTGTTAATGGAGCAGCTAAAGGACAACGATCGAGGTTTAAAGGGCTTATAAAAGTCAATGAGAGGACCGACTACGATGATTTATGAACGTGACGATGGCTTATGTCAGGGTCAGTGCAGCAGTGCTTGAGTTAGTGGGTTAATAGTCTGTGTTTGTTTGGCATGAACTATTGAAAATGATGCACATAAATCCAGGCACAATAACAAACAATCCTACAGCCGAGCCTTAAAACAAAAGTGGTGAAGTCCTAATACGTATAAAATGCACGAGTCATATCACCTTTAAAAAATGTTGAGTAAGGACAGAAAACAGGAAGAAAAAAAAAAACCTTTTTCCTTCAGAGTCTTTACTCACAACATAGTAAGAAACAAGCACACATCTCTCAGAAAACTCAAGAACAAACTGAAACAGTTTTATTTTAATTTACAGATTATCCAGTTGCATCAGGTCTGGTCAAACAGAAGGAAAGAAGGAGGAGGAAGAGGAGGAGGAGGAGGAGAAAAAATCCTTCCCTAAAACTGTATCTAAAAACATCTTAAATTAAACTCCCTTCATTTAACAGTTGCTCCCAGTTTTCTTTGTCTGCCTTCACAGTGGACTCCGTCAGAGTCGAGGTCAATTCACATCTATAAATCCCAAAAGTGACTGGCAAAGGTTGTACGTGTAACAGAAGAAAGGCTGTATTTTGTGAAATAGGTGATAAGAAATGTCCTTTTTTGTGAGTTTTTGAGGGTAAAAAGGGAACACAGAAGAAATAAGTGAATCAACATCAAATCCTTGCAGTTACTCCAAAATCCATTTCCTATGATGTGCAAAAAACATTGGAAGAATAGGACACTATTTTTCAAAGTGTCAAAAGATGGACATTCTTTACAGAGTTGGCACTTGGGTGCAACTTGATTTAAATTTGTCTCACACCAGTTGGCAAAAAAAGATGGCCAGATAACTTTTTTTTTTTAAATCTCCGTCCAGGCCTTGATGTGCACTGGCTGCTTTAAGACCAAAACTAGTGCAGCAGAACTGACATCAGCATTAGATGACTTAACAGTAAGAAATTTAAAAAGAAGACAGAAGAAATGATTGCTTATTTCACACAGAGTACAACTGTCTCAATGGCGTACCCTTTTTAACATTCAACAACCAAAGAAAAAAAAAAAAAAAGTGACTGACAGGCCAGTTTCACATGCAAAAGCAATCACACACTTGAGATGTTTTGCAGGGAAGATTAATTTGGTTAAAGTTTCCACTCACAGAAACAGCCGTCACTACTACAGAAGATGCTTCTGTGTTCTTACAGCCTCCCTTTGTGTCCTGTATTTATGGCAAACATCCCTCAGATTAACCTCCTGCTGTTATTATACTTATGGGAAGAAATCATTAATTTTCGGGGGTTTAACAGTTTCAGGGTCATTCTGGGCACAGCGCTCTCTTTTCATCTCTCATGGAAGTTTAGCGACGCCCATTTGAACGTCTAATTATCGTCTTAATTATGTCACTCGCACAGATTTTTGTGTAATTTTTGTAATCCCCCAAATTGAACTAAATGAATATTTGCCAAAAGGAAAGCAAGATAAACATGCTCATCCTATTTGGAGCCAAACTGAGTCTAACTGGTTGAAGGACTTGCACAGAAACTCCATAAATTACCTCACAGGATTAAAAAGGTTAATGTCCAACTCTGCCATATATTAAGCTTACACCATAACTTTAATTCAAGCCTACAGGTAATGTAACAAATTACTGAGGTGTTCACGTTTGCTCAAATATATCATCCTTCCCTTTGGTCTTTAAAGTAGAGGACGTCAGGTATTTTACACATTTCGAATGCAGTCAAGTGTTTATGGCTGAACCTTCCAACTTTAACCATCACATCTCCCTTTTAACAAAATGAGAGTGAAGGTGACAGCCGACAGAAAATCAAAGTGCATCCACATCTAATCACAGACTAAAGGTTGTTTGTAAAAAAAAAAAAAAAAAGAGGAAAAAAATAACATACAAAAAAAACCCCTAAGTGGTCTTCATGGTTCATGGTGGTCGTTGTCCAGTCCATCCCACTTGTTGTGTTATGACCCTCCTCATTATCGTCCCCGTCGAGACCGAACTCGTTAACGTTGTGTATTCCAGTGTGTGTTCCAGCGACTTAATCCACAGGGAAACCTTCAGAATAAAAGTGTTGTATTTTTTTTGTTTTTTTTTTAAGATCTTCTGTCTCTGACCGCCATAACTGACAGCACTGTGACTCTCCTTGCGGGTTAATAACAGACATAAAAACATAAAAACTGCTCTGAAGAAACATCGTTTTGGCTCAGCAGCCAGAAGGAATCCACACATACACCCAACATACAAACATGCAGGCGATCATTCCAGTATCAAATTCTACCAGAATTACAATCTGTCACTCTTCATGCACATTTTTTGTGTCCGTTGCTGTTGGTAGCTCTGTTTTGGTTGTGGTTTTTTCTTTTCCAAAGAGTCACCGGAGCAGAGTTAACCATTGGTTTCAACATGGCAGTGTTTGGTAGCATCAGATTGACCTGGAACAGTGTGAATACGTCGTCTTTGTGTGCATACATGCGTGTCTACAAGAGGCAAGGTGTGAGCGTGTGTCAAGTGGCTGGTTTTCGTGTCTTTGAAGCTGAGTTTAAAAAAAAAAAAAAAAAAAAAATCCACTAAGTCAAGTGTCACTCAGGCTACTTTGTCTCCCACAGTCTCAAATCAACGTGCGGCATCAGTAAGAGGGTAACAGTACATTCTTTATGTCTCTGTGTTAAATAATAGGGGTCTAACGTTATATTTTTATACCATTCAAAAACACAGTGCTCACTCCTCGTTCTCAGCGAAATGTTTTTTTTTCCTTCATAGTGGCTCAGTGTGGGAGCAGGGACATTTCAGTACAGTGGTGTTTTTTTTCTGTGACAGTGGGACAACATGTTTCCAGCATGTTTTTCCTCGCTTTCTCTTCCCAAATCCAGCTATCACACAGTCTGTCTTCATGGATGAGAAGTGTGAGGTTTCTGTGTTGCAAGTACAACGAAAGAGAAACAGGAAGAGTGAAAAACAGAGGGGTGTGACAGCTGGAGGAGGTGTGTGTGTGTGAGGGCAGCGGCAAGCTTCCCCCTTCCTCCCTTGCTATAGCAGCTCTTCTCTTTGCTTTTTGCTCCTCACCGGCCCCTGGCCGTTCCTCAGGGAGCCGTTCTGGGGCCGCAGGAGATGCCCGCGCTCCTGCTCCGTCCACGGGACCCCTCCCTGCCCTTCGTCACTGTCCAGGTCAGAGTCTGAGTGCATGAGGGCAGAGGAGGTTGGAGCGGGGACCGGCTTCAGGCGGGCTGGTGGAGGAGAAGAGAAAGAAACAGTATGATGTCAAAATGATGCTGGACTGGAGCACCTTTAAACCTTTATTCATTTAGTCTTACTCAGATTACATAAACATATATACAGTGTGAGCATGGACAAAACACAGAGACATTCAGAACAAACAAAATGTACACATTTACATAACAATGGTTACACATAATAAAGAAACCACTGCCATACAGAAAACAGTTACAAGTAGTCTACGAAATTGTAAAATATTCTGTATAAAATACTAAATAAACACCAGCCTGTAGCATCCTTTAAAGTGAAGCATCAGTTTCTAGCTCAGCTGGTAAAAGTTTAAATGTTTCGAGCTGCTAACATACAACAGGGTTGAAGAAAGTGAGCTACAATGAGTGGTAGTGGTGATAATGTATGTGTGTGTCTTACCAGCTCTAGGTGGTTGTAGCTCCAGACTGTCTTGCTCATCAGCTTCTAGTATTTTATATCTGCTTTTGCTTCTGCGCACTTTGCTTTTACGCCTTTCAGGAAAAAAAAAAAAAAAACACACACATCAGATATTATGAGTTGGTTTAGAGGTAGTTAAAGAAGAAAATACAATCCCAAGAGTTTAATGGAAAAGATGCATATACTGTGTGCATCTTAAGACATTTAATAATAATCATAACAAGAATTTATACTTTAGAAAGTGTTCTCACCTGTTGCAG